AAGAATGCCATTTGTGTTTGAAGTTGTTGCTTGATTAGAAACCCACAATATTCATAATCATACTTGAAATTTATATATGTTTGCAGTGACATAAAGGCATTTTGGACAAGAAATTCTAAGTTCATTTATATTCTTCCATAGTCCAATTAAAAGCAACACTGATCTCTTTATTTTAGTTACCTGTTGCTGTCTTCAGATATCTCCATGTAAAATTTTATTTTAGAGTACCATGATTTGATTTGGTCAACAGTCTTCCTTCAACCAAATCCTATCAATCTGGTTGTTTATTTACAAAGATGATTTGTAGCTATACAGTTTAAAAATATTTAAAAGCATCTGTTTTACATATTTTCTCCCTCAAATGAATAAATACAGTATGAATTTTTTCTAATTTGTGAGAGCTACAGGATATTAGATTATCAAGCACTACATTTATCTAGACTCAGCATTTCTGGAAATGTTCCTGCTACATTACGAGCAAAATTCTAATTTTTATATCTGAAAAAGTTAAAAATGGAGACTACAAAGTTGTCTGGATTTTTTAAAAAAATCAGCTAACAGGGAATGCATACAAAGAATACATTTTTAAAAAACAGAAAACAGGGAATGTGTACAGAGAATACATTATTTGAGATAGAAAGCATTTTTCTGCCAATGTAAGATTGTTAAAAAAAAAAAAAGAAACAAAATGATATCTACCAGTTCTTTAATTTCCCAAAGTTCATGAGTATTGACATGAAGTATATTTTTAAATACTTAGTCAGAGAATAATCATTCTAACCAAATTTAATTTTAATTAAATATAAATGTAAATGAAATACTGTACATCAAGTTTAATTTTTGTCTCCAGCTGCATTTGCTAATTTTTTTTAATGCAGTCCTTAGCATGCTAACTCAAATGTCGAGTATATCCCTTAACAGTAAAAAGATTATGTGTGTCTGCTCTTCCTGGAAAACTGTAATAGTATTCAGTGTTCAATCAATCCCTGATTAATTAACAAAAGGAAACTTAAGACTCCAGGTTCAATTAATATCCATAATTCTTAGCAAATGCCAAATTATTATTGCATTGATTATTGCTAGAATTTAGCCCTTTTTTATTGTTGCACGGCAGTACATTTGTAGTGTGATCACCTTTCTGATGTACAATAATATCATGGCTACCATAAAACTACCATTTTCCCTGATGGGAATCTTGTATATTTCATCTAATACTTAATTCAAATCACATTGAGTCTGAATTACCATGTGATACAGTGGTGGGTTTCAAAAAAATGTTACTACCGGTTCTTTGGGTGTGGCTTGGTGGGTGTGGCATTGCTTGGTAGGCGTGGCAGGGTAAGGATACTGTAAAATTTCCGTTCCCACCTCACTCCAGGGGAAGGTTACTGCAAAATCCCCATTTCCTCCCAATCAGCTGGGACTTGGGAGGGAGAGAATAGATGGGGGTGGGGCCAGTCAGAATTTTTACCACTGGTTCTCCGTTGGAAGAGTTGGGGGTGGGAGGCACTGTGTTCTCCTCCTTTCTCTCTGACCGGTTGCAGTCTGTGTTGACAGGGGGACAGAGGTCGACCCCGAGGCCCCTCATATGTGGGGTGCCGCAAGGGTCGGTCCTCTCGCTTCTCCTGTTCAACATTTATGTGAAGCCGCTGGGCGAGATCATCCGTGGTTTCGGGGTGGAGTACCATCAGTACGCTGACGACACCTAGCTGTACATCTCCACCCTGGATCACCCCAACGATGCCCTTGAAGTGATGTCCCGGTGCCTGGAGGCCGTACGGATCTGGATGGGGAGGAACAGGCTCAGGCTCAACCCATCCAAGACCAAGTGGCTGTGGTTTCCGACGTCCCGATATAGTCAGTTGACGCCATCACTGACTATTGGGGGCGAATCATTGGCCCCCACGGAGAGGGCTCGCAACTTGGGCGTCCTCCTGGATTCACGGCTGTCTTTAGAAGCGCACTTGACGGCCGTGACCGGGAGGATTTTTCATCAGGTTCGCCCGATTCGCCAGTTGCGTCCCTTTCTGGATCGGGACTCGTTACACACGGTCACTCATGCCCTTGTCACCTCCCGCCTGGACTATTGCAATACTCTCTACATGGGGCTCCCCTTGAGGAGCACCCGGAGGCTCCAATTGGCGCAGAGTGCGGCCGCGCGGGTGGTAATGGGAGCGACATGGCGTTCCCATGTAACACCCCTCCTGCGTGAGCTGCACTGGCTCCCGGTGGTCTTCCGGGTGCGCTTCAAGGTTCTGGTTACCACCTTTAAAGCGCTCCATGGCTTAGGACCCGGGTACTTGCGGGACCGCCTACTACCACCAATAGCCTCCCACCGGCCGGTACGCTCCCATAGAGAGGGGCTCCTCCGGGTGCCGTCAGCCAAACAATGCCGACTGGCGGCCCCCAGGGGGAGAGCCTTCTCTGTGGGGGCACCTACTATCTGGAACGAGCTCCCCCCAGAGATACGGAGGATCCCGGATCTGCGCACCTTCCGCCGCGCCTTAAAGACCTTACTATTTCACCAGGCCGGCCTGGCCTAATTTTCCCCCTCTTTTATAAAAGATTTTTAAAATTTTAAATATCTTTTAGTATTTTATATATTCAATTTTAAATTGGTTTTAAAAGTTTGGGGTTTTAAATTTGTCGAGGCCAAAATTATTTAATTTGATTTTATTCTATTTTTTAAATTTTGTATTGTATGTGTTTTTATTGTTTGGCTGTGCACCGCCCTGAGTCCTTCGGGAGTAGGGCGGTATAGAAATCTAAGAAAATGAAAATGAAAATGAAATGAAATGAAATGAACTATTCAAAATTTCCGCTACCGGTTCTCCAGAACTGGTCAGAACCTGCTGAAACCCACCTCTGATGTGATATCATAAAATGTGCTCAATCCTGTAGTTCTGAAGTCATACTATGTCTATTCTAGAAATGCCTTCTATCTCAAAGAATATATTCTCTGTATACATTCACTATTTGCTGGTTTTTAAATAATAATTATTTATATATAGCACCAATCTAACTGGAAGTGACTTGTTGCCATACAACAATCAAATAAAACCACAATATAAAACAATCATATAAAAACAATCACTATAAAAAATAAAGACAAACATTATTTAAAAGTTTTAAAAAATCATTAAAAACTATAGAAACTATAGAAACCACAAAGTGTAACAATACCATATAGGTATAGGGAGGTACACAATCCCATATCATCAATAATAGCTGAACCACCTTAAAATATTGCTAGTTCCCTGGGAATGCCAATTCTGATGACATAACCAGGTCTTTAGGGATTTCCTGAACATTAACAGGAATGGAGCTAAACTCACTTTGTATGAAATATATTGAAGTTGAAGATCAGGAAAATTTGAAAATATACCACAGAAAAGTAAAATCAGATGGATAAAATAGGAAAATAACAAGCAGCCTCTATAATAAAAAAGTAACACATGCTAATATTGCTGTTAATTACCTGTCTAAAATATCTCCATCTATTATATAAAAATATGTACTACCTAAAACAAGATAGTTAACATGTTAAGTAACCTGAAGTGACAAATAAAAATATATTTTCTGTGACCAGTTATTTTCAACATAACAGCATATAATCTGGTTACTGAATAATTGATAAACAGGTTTAGTATTTTCTAGAAGATGGTTCACATAAAAATCATCTGCTCTTCCTGGAAATTTACATGCTATGAACAGAATATAAGGAGAAATAATATTCATGTAGAATTTACATGTGAAATGGTTTATAAATGGTTTGTCATCACATGGGCAGGGATAATAATATAAATAAAGATAACTGACTTATGCAGAAGAAATTAATTGAAATGTGTATGCAAGTATTTCCACATATTATTTGTGAATGCAGCCAAAGTAAAATGCCACTCTTACAAACCTTATTTAAATAAAAGCAATTGATAAAATGGAATAGTATTCCAATTTTTTTTCTTATATTGATTTTTTAAAAATATGAAACAAAAATCACAGCCTTAAAAAGAAGAGGGTGACATTGATATCCCAAACCTACCTAAAATTGAATCCAAGGGAAGGCACAGTGAACTGCTTCATCCTAACTCTGTCATGGAATACCATTGTTAAATTCACTTTTGCCACTTAAATAGAAGATATAGTGTCCTCTTTTGTGCACTTACACAAGAACGTGAACTGCTTGTTGTAATATAGAGCATGTTTGTATATTTTAAGACTACAGGTAGTAATGATAGTTTATTGATTGATTAGTGTTACAACCATGTAAAAAATATAAAACAAAAATAAAATATAGGACATAAATTGAAAAAAAATAGGTAAAAGGAAAATACAGTAATAAAATATAAAAGCATAAATACAAAGGAACAGCATTCAGGTAAATACATTGTCTTTACAAGATACCCCCATTTTTTGATATAATGGGTTCTTAGATCAACTGCATTAGCTATAAATTTAGCAGTTGGAAAGAACTGCATCACCATTTTAATCATGAGCAAAAGGCCATTTCTATAGTTTCCTACTTTAGAAAATACCAAAAAAGAGCTGCTTGTCATACATCAAGGAGACTAAACAAAGAAATGTATTTAATAGTTGTATCTGCACTATGACAAAGCAACATTTAAGAAACAGTTGACTGTTTCCATTTCATCTATAACTGTTTAGATAGGCATTGAGCACAGAATGGAAAAAGTGATAAAAAGATTGGCATCAGAAAATGGAGAAAATTGTATTTTAACTGTTTCTTAAAGCAAAACCCCTTTTTTGCAAAAAAATAAATAAAATAAAATGCTGTGGTAGAAGCACACCTGTTATATATTTTAAAGAATTCACAGGAACTACTTCAAATACACAAAATGGCCACTTCACCAAGCATCGAATGCCAAACCTGAACATAGAGATACTTTAATGACATGCATGAATTAGAGTAGAAAGCAAAGTCAACTGAAAAGAAAGATATATAGGAAAAAGGAGAAGCTGAAGTAAAAGACTCTTCCTACCTGAGACAAGTGAGACTGTGTCTTTCTCCCATGAGACAACAGTGATGTAGGCCTCCACAGAGGAGGGGATAATGCACTTGAAGACCGCTACATTGCCTCTCATGGCTTTCTGGTCCTCCACACGGACTGTATATGGTTCCCGTAAAACTAAAGCAGAAAACGGGAAGGAAGCCAAGTTACACAAATAGATAAAGAGTACAGAAGATGCATAATCTGACCTAACAAATTACAAACAAAACACACATTGTGTCCACTGTGGACTGAATGAAAAGAAAAAGAATCAAAGTAAGATCCTTTTCTTTTTCCAAAGCCTTCCAGGCAAATTTGTCCAAGTCAAAAACTAACAATGAAATCATATTCCACTATAATACTCTTCTAATGGACCTTACAACATTAAAAACATTCAAGGTGAAGAAAAATTGACAGATGAATTAAGATGGAACCACAGTAAAATTGAATGTACTGTTGTTGTTGTTGTTTTAAAAAAGTGTTTGGCAGTTTTTTTATCATAAAAGTAGAACTTTGAAAAATGGTGTGATCAATTAACCACTAAAATATTCAATTTTTTCCTCACATAGTTATTTAGGGGTCCATTTTATTCACTTTAATGCTTTTTGCTTCATGAGCAACTTCTTTTAGAGTTTGTGGGTTGGACTTGATACTTAATTGATGACACATTTAGTTTTATTTTTTAATTCACCAAAGGAATTCTATGATGTTCTGGAAAATCCTGACTAAATGCCTAGAAACAGTAATAGAATGGTGCTACTCAGGGACTGACATTAATTTTTGAAATGGATATGGAGAATTGGTGGTCAAACTCTGAAAAATATCAGGCAAAACATATTGTTTATTAGGCGAACTGTATGAGCTTAGTGAATCTATGTTGAACACATCAGTTCCTTACTTCCTTGAAAGGCATAAGATACCCATATACAGATAGTTCCAACTTGTTCAAGTAAATTATGCCACTCTGTTCAAACATCATATCCCCAATCTTATATGGTAATGATGAAGATTAACAAAATTTGACATCTGAATCCTTATAAAACAATATAGACTACCCATATTTTATTACTAAAGCAAGGCTGTTAAATGGGTATCAGATTGTAACATAGTTGTCCCCATAGATTTGTTTTAGTGAGTAGGAACAGATGAAGCAAAAGAGAAAACTGTTAACAAAATTGAAACTGTGATAATTATTATTGTGGAAACTCATCCACAGACCCCAGCATAAACATATTACTGGCATATTGGGACTCTGAATACTTTCAATACACATAAAGCTAACCAGTTTTGTATAATTTCCTATTTGATTATTAAATATTATTTAGATCTGGAAATAAATACAGAAGTGACTTATTATTCCATCTATAAACAGAAGGAAAATATGTAACCCTGTACCATTTTAGAATGCAGATGGAAAATATATGCGCTAAAAACAGTGTTGCATATCTCCTGACCTTTTGTTTAGATTTTCATTTTTTATATATTTTATACCTACCATTTCTCTTTGTATTCTCATTTTTATATCTTTATATCTTTTTATACTAATAACTTTTTTAACTTTTAACTTTATCTATTATATTTGTATGCTTCTTCCTAATGACTGCACTCATCCTTTATGACCACAATAAAAATTGATCTGCTACATATCTGCTGCATAGCAACTAATCTGTTTGATTCAGTAATGCAGTCCCTATTAATATAATAATAATAATAAAGTAATGTAGTATCATAAGAGTTGCAATTCCTTAATTTTTGAAAATTCAGATTAACTCAGATATTTTTATGGCTCATTTTTTCTCCTATCCTTTTATCTATTAAATGGATTTAAATTCCATCAAATGAAGTTCCTATTCAATAATTTAAAGTATTTAAATAATGCCATGTAGTAGATAACACTATAATTATTATATAACCTTCTGAATCATTAAAAACAGTTAAAATAGATAATATTAGATGCATAGCTGCTTCACTTCTTTCTTGCTATTGTATAGCTGGTATAGTTGGTTCAAAGAAGATACAGCAGAACCCAAACAAAACAATTAGTTCATGTACCCCAGCTTTTCAGAATTTGCATATAAAATACTTTAGTAGTAATGATAGCTACTTCCTTAGATAATATATGAGCTATCTTTAATTAATTACTTAGTAAAGTTATTATTAAGATCCCCATCGTGATTATTGCTAAGTCCACCAACTATGCTAATAGCCTAAACACATGCACATGTGTACTAGTTTCTTTGCATAGGATAGAATTAACAGTGAGGCAATGCATCAGGAGAACGTCAAAAACACCTTCCCAGTTCTGTTTCATATAAATAATGAATTTCTGTGCTCTCTCAGTGTTATTCTTTTCAGGTTCTGATTTGGTACTTTTCTCTCTATCTTCTAAATCCTTCTTTAAAACTCATATCAATTTTTTTCTGAAAGTATCCTGTTTTGTTTAATCAGTAACTTCTCCTACTTAATCCACAATACTGCTGAACAACTCCTGATCCCATTTCCAAATTTCTATGTGAGTGATCCCTCTTAGATATTTTTCAACAAGAATTGATCCATTTCTTTAGGCTGTAATGTTGTCTACTATAAATTTCTGGTGCTGAACTTCAGCTCCTATAATCCAAACATTCTATCTAGTTGTTGTAAGAGTCAAATACACCTGAAAGTCACTAATTTCAAATCATGCTGTAATTCAGGCCTTTGAAAAACTTTTAGCAACAATATTTGAAAACTTACCGGCCTTAATGTGAACATCCTGACTTCTGATTTTCCCTGAAGGATTTTCAGCTGTGCAATAGTAAGTGTTATCATGGATTAAGTTATTAAAGCTTGAAGGAGGGAAAGGGAAAATTTGGAGAGTGCCATTAGGGTGGACGTGGCGGATCCCTGGGACATCGTAGATCTCCTCGCCCGTTGCTAGGTACCATCTGAGCGTCACAGGGGGGATTCCTGCTGCTGGACAGGGTACCAATGTCCCCGTGGTGCTAGCAAACACTACCTCTTGCAAAGATGCATTGACAAAATATAAGCTGGCATGTAGATCTTCACCAAAAACTGCAAGATAGAAATAGAAATTCAAAAAATTACCATTATGATCATCATGTCTTTTTTTTAGTACCAAAACTTTATATTATAAACTTTATTTTTATTTTTATTTATTTATCATATATAAGAACCACAAAGGGACTCTAGGCAACAACAAAATCAATGGAAGTACAACAAAATCAATGGAAGTAAAGTAGAGATTTATTTGGGGGGATTACAAACTGCAAATAAATCATGATATCTAGTAAAATAGTTTACAGAAAATTATGCATTTTCTTGTTCAAATTCCTTGGCAAAACACTAAAAATTAATTTAATTAATTCAGAAATTATTAAAAATTCCAAATCAGAGAAGCAAAGTATAGGATAAACAGAGACAGTAACATCTTTGTTGGATAAAGCAAATTTTATTTCTATTGCAGGAGTTTTATTAAAATATTATAAAAAGTATAATTAAAATTTTATTTTAAAAAAATCTAACAGTATAATTCTTACCAAAGTATTTCTGCTGAAATTTGTCAAATTTTTTAACTTACTTATGCTTCACCATTTGGATTATTTAATAATTCTGGCAAAACTACTCAAAAACTTCTTCTCGATATACTGGGTTCAGAACTCTGGATAGAGGGTAAACTCTGCCACCATTCCCTGCTAGAACTTCCACCCAAGCTTTTCCTTATCCTCATCACTTCTTCATGTGGTTTTATGCTGCAACATCTACTATTGATACTTTTCTTTCTGGCCAATAGCTATTCATCTTCCTTCCTATTTACAATATCCATTAAACATTCAAAATGTACAGAGCACCCTCCCATTCTGAAAGAATGACATTTTTAAATGACCACATTTAGGTAATGCATGCCAACATTCTTCATCACATGACACACACACCCCTTCACCCCCCATGCACTGGAGAGAGCTTGAAGATAAGCATTCTTTGTCGGGGTTCTTCCTTGTGGAATTTAGGAATGAGAGCAGTTTCCCCCTTCTCAATATTTTAGATATCATTAAAGACCTAATTGTTCATAATGCTCTGCGGGAAGAAGAGCTTAAGAGAAATATTAGTATATTACCCAAATGAATGATAGCTGCTCAAATAGTATTACTGTATTCTATTTTTGCACTCTTATTATTCATATATACTCCTACTGGTTATTCTATTGTGCAATGTGATGTTTGTTGTTATTACAGACTTCTAAGCCACTTAGATTTATCTGAGTGAAAAGGTGTAGAACTAACAGTATAATCATCATCACTACCACCACCACCATCATCATCTGTAAGTTGAGATTCTCACATGTGATGACTAATAACATCAGGACATGAAATTCATGAAATTCTGCTAGGTTTTCATTAGCTGCACCAGAACTTTGCTTAATTTGTCAGAGAAAGAAAGATACTGTTCCCATCTCCACTATGAGTCACACTTAGCTTCCACCTGTCGTTTCAAGTATTTTAATTATTGATTAAATTCATATGTCACCATCTCACTATCCAAAGTGACTCTATACCAGCACAAGGGATTCTACCAAGAACTCAAGCTTCCACTAGTGCTTCTCTCAGTGCAGCTATCAAGCCTCCCCATATCTTCTGTGCGAAGGTGATAACAGGTTTGCTGCAATTTTTACATTTCTTGTTCAAATATTTTAGTCCTGTTGTTTTATCATATATTGCAAATGTCATCTGAAAATCATTTCTAAAAGAGTGTTTGGAATGTCAAAAACTATTTCTAAAAGTTGCCTCGAAGTAGGACATATTGCAGCAGGTATGAATTCGTTTTAAATATGGCATCCTTTAGTTCACTTTAGCCCACTTAGCCAGTCAATTGTTTCCTTTGTCTTGTCTTCATTTCTCTCCATCCTGTATGTTGTATAGACAACAACCATCATTGTGAATTTAGTCAGTGTCAACTGATTTTCTTCCATAATGCATAATTATCAAGAACCCTTAAGGCTGCCATTTTGAGGAAAAGAAGCCTGCATCTGTAGAAAAATGTACTTGATCCCTCATTGTGAATACTATAACCATGTGGACCAGTAAACTTGTATACACAGCATCTTGTGAGCCCCTTTCTGGTAAGCCTAATGGAGCAGCTCTCAGCCGGAGGGCCTCCAGCTGTTGCAACAGCAACTACAAGAATTCCCAGAAGCTACAGTCCCAACACATCCCAATGACTGCAAGTTTGGAAAGACTAGACAATTTTCCTCTACCACTTCATGTAGAACACTTGCAAACTACAGTTCTTGCCTTGGGGCAGCAAGATTGGTTGCACATTTTAAATTTCCAGTTTAAGCCAGAAATAAACATCTTCTCTTTTATTTTTGGGTAAATCTTTTTAATCTAATATCAAATCAGTTTTACTATAAATGTACAATGCCTGTGTATGTGTTTTTACATTGATATATAGACATACTCATTCATTCATGTATTTTAGGCAGGCACCCAATCTGCCAATTTAAGGTCATTTTAATTTAAATGTTTGGTCAAAATTTAAATTCATATTGTTAAGCATACTTTTTTAAAAATGAAAAGGTAATGTTTATTACTTTTTAATCTTTTCAATTTTATTCTCTTTTTGTATGTATAGTTGTAATTCTCCTTTTGCATGATTTAGTTCTTTACGAAATTTCATTAAAAGGCTAATATATATATTAGTATATATCTATATACTAATATATTTATTTTATACTTATAACACTCTATGTTCATATTCATGTTCAGCAACACACACACACACACTGTATATATCTCCCCTTCTCACCCTTATGGGTGGACTATGTCTTCCTCAATCTCAGGTCCTCTATCAGAGGCCTCTGAGTTTGAGGATTCTGTGCAGTATCTTAGTGGTTCAGAGAGCTGCACTCTTTTGACAGAGAACTCTGACATTGTTCCTGTGATCTGTTGGAGCCACTCTTCCAACTTACAAGTCACTCTTATCACCACTGGGACCACTTTGGCCTTTACTTTCCACTTCCTCTTCTATTCCTCCTTCAGGTCCTTTTACTTCTTCAGTTCCTCATAGTCTTTCTTCCTAAGATTGCTATAACTTGTAGATAGATAGATAGATAGATAGATAGATAGATAGATAGATAGATAGAAGATAGATAGATATCACACCACTGTGTTCTGGTGTTTCACTACTACCACAATGACTAGTTGATTGGCTGGCATCTGTCTATGTAGTCATGGAAATCTCACATCATCTTAGCCCTCTTATTTTCCACTCCTTCTGTGGGATCTGTCATCTAGACTTAGGAGGTCTAGATATGTTCTGTATAGATATTTCTATACACAGTGCCAGCTGCTTGGTTGTGCAATTGAGTGAATCCTGCCTGCATCATGAGTGGCTGGATAGTGTAGTGGTTAGAGCACTGTCTTTGATATAATAATTCCCTTCTTATCCTTATGGATGGTTTCTGTCTCCACCCCACCCCCCCTTCTATACATATATAAACGTTTTCAATTTAGGGAGGTAGTCTGTGCTACTTGAACAAAACACAAAGAAAGTTTAATTTTCTCAAGTGTTAATTTTAAATATGAAATATAAGAGGGCTTCCTGCTGATAATTTCAGACTTGCTTATGTTCTATTCCCTATTTCCCATAGTTTGTGTCTGCTATGCTTTTATTGTATTGAGCTAAAGATGCATAGAAGTTTTTTTAAGTCAATCAAAATAAAATGATTGAACTACAGAACTATTCTAAAGAGTTCATAAATCAATTGTCAAATTAACAGTAGATCATTTAAATTACAAAAGCTGTTAGAAAGCTATTAAAAAGGCATAAGGGAATAGGAGTTTGCTTGCATGCATTAGAACAGCTGTACTGTATATACAGCTTGGAGGCAAACCCCAAGAAAGCCTGAGGAAAGCCTGAGGAATATGGAAAAGTAGATGGAACTCAAAAAAAGTCTTCAACAGAATTTATAAAATTATTTATTGAACTTCTATGCCTCTTCAAAAAACACAACATTGAAATGCGTAGATTCCCTCTTTTGTAAGTAAGTTCAAAAGTGCAAAATATATACATAACAAAAAAGAGATAAACAGCAAAACAGCAACAGAGATGAATCAAATAATTTTAATTAATGCCCAAATTATAAAATGGAACAGTTTGCAACAGTTCTTCCTCTACGTTCAGCTGGAAAAGGTGCTTGGTTTGTCAGGGGCCGGGAGGTGGTGGGGAGGGCATGCTGTTCCAAAGAATGTAGGCAGCAATGAAAAGGCCCATGCTCATGAAACTGGCAATCCCCGATATGAATAGACTGGAAGAGAGCCCCTTCTATATGATCACAAAGGAAGGAATGATTGGGACAAGGTTGTGCTGAAGTTATCCAAATCCTGAATCATGAAAGGCTTTAAAAGAGACAACTAGCACCTTGAAATGAACCTGGAAACCAGCTTTCAAATGAGAGATGCAATTTTCAAACTGGAGATATTGCATTGGAAAGTCCTGAAATAACATAGCTGCTGAATTCTGGGCTTGCTAGGTGCAAGGAAATTCTAGGCTCAACTAGATAACCCAAGCCCTGTTGGATTATCATTTCAAAATTATTTCTTTACCTAAACTGAAAAACAGAATGACTATAGGTAATCAAAAAAAAAAGCAATAAGAACAGCAATGACTTCTGATATCCTGTCAGGTTCCCCACTGATTTCCTTGTGGCAAGCTGATAGGGAGCATCAGAAAATTCCCTCCCCTTCCCCTTCCCTCAATGGGGTTGGCTTCCCCATTAACTTTGCTTATGGAAGCCAAATGGAAGGTTGCCAAATGTGATCATGTGACTTTGGGCCACTGCAGCCATCATAAATGCAAGTTGGCTACTAAATGTTGTTTCAGCATTGTCCTAACTTCCAACAGATTGCACATGCAGAAAGCGAAATCATATAGAAAGACCAGGCATGATATTGTATGTAATTTGATTTTCAAGCCCAGACATTCACATTCAATATGTAGAGAAAAGTACCAGATCAAGACAATACTAGTGATGGGAAAACTAGAGCTGTGCAAAG